CCGGAACTTTGGGGACGTCCAGTCAGGCCAGCTTTTCAGCAGACCTTCTTGGATCTCGGCAGGGAGGAGAACAGTTGAGGTGTGCTTGGCAGTTCTCCAAAAGCTAACTGTAGAGTTTCTAACGCAGCAATTTCATTCCTAGGTGTAGCTGCCCAAGAGAGTTAAGAACATGCATCCAGATAAAGACTTGTGCACACGGGTTTATGCTAACCCAAAGTAGAAGCAGCCCAAAGGCCCATGAATGGTTGAAGGCAGTACAAGCCTGCCGTGCATATTATTCATCCATAAGAGGGAATGAAATCCTGACTCGTGTTACATTAGGGATGCGCCCTGGAAGCGTTAGGCAGAGTGAAACCTGCCAGCCACAGAGGCCACCCTGTGTGTGGCTTCATTTACAGGACACCTGGCGCCCTGATGACACTTTGGGCTGAGAACTACAAAGTCAGCCCAAACCATCTGCTGTGCTTGGGGAGGAAGACGGTCCTCCTGGAAGGAGCTCTACTCTGGGAAACTGGGAAACTCACGGGTCAGTTCTCCCGTCCTCTAGGGCTGCTGGGAATTGGCATGGACTCTGCAGTGAGTTTGGATTTCGGAGGCAAATGCACAGAGACAGAAGGTAGCGTAGCGGCTGCCACAAGCTGGAAGGGTGGGGAGCAGGGCATGGCTGCCCATGCGGTTTCCTCCGGTGGGGCGATGACAATGCTGAGGGTTGCACTAAACTCCGAAGCAAACTGACTGCCATGGAGCTGATGCCGACTCCTCCCACCACATAGGACCAGGGTGGAGCTGCCCCTTTTGAGTTTCCGACACTGTCACTATTTACGGGAGTAGAACGCCCTGTCTTCCTCCCCTGTTGCTGCTGGTGGTTTCGAACTGTGGGACCTCTGTGGTTGCAGCCCGTCACATGTAACCACTGCACCACCAGGTCTCTCCAAGACCATTGCCCAGCAGGTGGAAACCACTTGCTCGTGCCCCTGCAAACAGTGAACTGCGCAGTCTGCGTGTTATGTCGCAGCTGAGAAACCAGGTGGTGTGAAACTTCCCTTGTTTTTGAAGCTCTATTGTTTTTGTAGGTGCTGATTTAAAACAAACAAACAAACGAAAATCAAACTGTACGAAAGAATAAAACCAAGACATCACGGGTGGCCAGGGTTAGTAGCATTTGGCCCAGGCTAGACTGATGAGCAATGAACTTGGACAAGGCACTGAATTTCTTTCCAAGATGAATAGGACCCATTAAGTAGCTATTTGGTGTGAAGCTAGGGGTGAATAGCCATGCACATGGTTACATCATGTGTGTCTGATAGCCTATAAGTGGGATTAGACTTCGCATGCTCTTCTGATGCCCGACATTCTCATGGGCAAACTTTTCATGTTAAAAAGCAAATTATCCAAGAAGTGAGAGAAAGGCCCTCATCGCCGGCCGTTTCCTGGCGTTAGCTGCGTGCTTTCCTCCCTTTGTCTCCTCTGGGCTGTTTGCCTGACGCTGCTACGTTTCCACAGGGGAGCTTAATTCCACGCATAGTTAAAAAGTAGCATAAAAGTGATCAGACAGCTACACAGGCAAACCAAGGCCAGCTCAACAATGTTGTTGTGTGTGATACAGTGACGGGGATTAGGGACAGAGCAGTCACGGGATTACATGCACCCCTCTCAGTGGTCCCTCCCCTGTTCCTAGGACTGCACCTCCCCTCCCCTTTTGATCGCCCTAACAATTCCATCCCACGCAGTAAGTTTGGGCATCATTTCCTAGCGAAGCTAAACCATCGACTGGCTTTACGGAAGCTTCAGGGGAGTTGGCTTTGAGGTTAAAGATTAGTTGAAGGCAGTAGTTTTCAGGGGTCATCCAGCCACAGTGGCCCCAGAATGTCTAGATTCCATGAGAATTAGAATTCTTGTCCACATTTCCGCCTCCTTTTGGTCAGGATTCCTCTGTAGAATCTTTGTTCTGAACATTCAGTCATAAAACCTGTTTCTGTGGGCCACCCTTACTTTCTAAGCACCTACAGAGTGTGGCGTCGGTCCATGTGGGAGGCTCCTGGCTTGGGAGGCAGCTCTCTTTGGGCCTAGGCATGAAAGGGCGTTGGAGGGTTGCCCACATGGCCGAGTGTTGGGTAAGGGCAGCTGCAGGGGGGCAGGGTGTCTCTGGCTGGAGAGTTGCAGTCTGTCTTGCCCTGTTGAGGGTGTCATGGGTCAGTAGGGGAGAGAGAAGAGCAGATTCCAAGGAGAGACCTCAGGCAGTTTGCCATGTAAAAGCCACCTCTCCCTGTCCCTTGACTCTGCCTCTGGCCCTGCCTGGCCCTGCCTTCCGGCCTCAGACCGCACCCCTGCCTGCCTTCTGTGAAGAGCTGTCCTCCTGCAGTGTGGGAAGGGTTTGCTCTTTGGAGAAGCTAGGTTTTGATTCTGCCCGAGGGGCTTCAAACATTCTCCCTTCTCCTGGAAAGGCTTGTGTGTCCACGTGGCCTGCAGCGCTGGTGAGTCCATCGGCCCAAATGGGGTCCCGTCCGTGCTGGCCTCTGGCCTCCCCTCCTACCTCTTCTTCCCCGAAGCCCTTCTTTTCCTGTGGCTGGGCCCCGACCCCAGCCCATTTTGTATTCCAGTAGTGTGACCTGACTCACAGTGGAACCCCCACCCCAAGCTGTGTGGGCCTCTGTCGGGACCTGTACCCAGCCAGGGGGGCAGTGGGGCTTTGGGGTGTTTTCCTGACCTCTTCCTTGCAGCCAGCCCCAAGGGGCTATGCTATGCCAAAGAGGCAGGCGAAGTGTCTTTATCCTATAGCCCACCTCTTCTGCCCCCACCCCCACCCTCCGCTCCCAGGCCCTGCTCAGGTCCTGGCGCCCACTCTCCTGAGCTCTGGCCAGGCCTCGGGGTACCTCAGATAGGCCTTGAGGCTCAGTTGGAAGGTTCAGCTTGGTCAGCAAATGTTCCGTGGGTGAACCCTGGACAACCCCTTGAGGGCCTGGAGCTGTACGGGTGGCATCCCCTGCTGAGGGCTTAGTTTCTCTATCTGCAGAATGGGTGGATGCAGTGCCCGGGGGCACTGGAGGCCAGGAGAAGAATGCTAAGTTCCCTGTGTCCTGTGTCAGAGCTACAGGCCCTAGGGAGAACCAGGGCAGTGGGCCGAGTAACTGGGAGACAATCCTGGCTGGAAAGCCATGTGTCTTGTGTGCGCGCAAAGAGATCTCGGGGGTGAGCTGCTGGGGTCCTTACTGCCCTCCCGTCACTGCAGGAGGGGCTCCGCCCCAGCCTCATGGGCATACATGGAGAATGGTCTCCCAGGCCGCCCAGTCGGCTGGACCACACTCCCCATCGTGCCTTTTGTCCTTCAAAGTTGACCCTAGAGGCCACTTCCTTCTCCCATGCCACTCTCTTATGTCCTCCATGCTACCTGCCCCCACCCCTTCCCTGAAGGCCTCAGCGGTTGCTCTGCTCCAGCCTCTCCTTAGGGCACCCCCTAACACCTCCCTCGCACCAGGACACCCTGCCTTCTGAGGCTGCCCCGCATACCCGCTGGCAGGCCCTGTCCTCGCTGCCCTGGAGCCGGTTCCAACCCACAGCCAGTCTGTTGGGTAGTCGAGCTGCCACGTAGGCTCCTGAGATACATCACTGCAGAAGCAGAAGGCTGTGTATGTCTCCTGAGCAGAGGCCGATGGGTTCGAACCACTGACCTCTTGGCTAGCAGTCCGGTGCTTAACCCATGATGCCAGCAGGGCTCCCTGCTGCACTGGAACCCAGGCCCCTGGTGGCAGGTTCTCGTGGATGGCTGCACCCATTTCCCAGGGCTGGAGCTCGGCCTTGCCTGCTTGCCTTTCCCCTTAGCCTGCCCCATCCTGCCTGGTCTCCATCCTCTTTCTGGGCACCGATTTGCCTACGTGTCCATAACTAGTGTGGTTTCATCTCCTGGCAAATGTTCTTCCCTACCCCTTGTCTCCTGGGGTGCCTCTCCCCTGCAAGTCCCCATCCCCAGGGTGTGACTTCCCTATAGCCCCCTCTTCCCCCTCGCCACTGCCTCTGGTCACAGTAGGACCCACAAGTGGGTAATAATCAACTACAGTGAACCCTTGTTTATCGCGGTTAATCGGTTCTAGACCCTACCGTGATAAATGAAATTCCACGAAGTAGGATTCCTTATTTGTAAATCAAATATTTTCGTAGTTAGAGCATAGAGGACATGAAAAAACACCCTTTAGTCACCATTACACTCGTATTACCCAATTTATTAAACGAAAAAGGGAAAATACAGTAAAACATTTTGGACGTTACAATGATCATTTATTATTTATTATATTATTTATGGCATCTAGTTTACAGTATTACATATTTCACATACAGTATTATTATACATAGTTCTTACAAATACTGTAATCAATAGCCTATGAAATGACTTAAGGGATGTACTCTACAGGTGGGTCGCCGTCTTTTTCCTCTGAAGGAGCGGGTGTAGGCAGTGGGTGCTGTTACGCAAAAACCGCGATAGAGTGAAGCCGCGGAAGTCGAAGCGTGAAGTGGCGAGGGTTCACTGTAATTGGTTTCCAGGCCAGGGCTCAAACTGCAGACTTGAGGGCTGGGCGGAACCCGGGGCCAGGCTTGGCAAGGATGGTGAGACTGCGTCATCTCACGCACTTTGGACAAGTTGTCAGGAGAGACCAGTCCCAGGAGGACATCCCGTTTGGGACAGTGGAGGGGCAGTGAACAAGAGGAAGGCCCTCCGCATGATGGGCTGACAGCGGCCTCACACAGAACAGCGGTGAGGTCGCCAGAGGACCGGCGGCAGCTCCTTCTGTTGTACTGGGTTGCGGTGGGTCAGAAGCAACTCCGTGGCACCTAACAACACCCACATGCTTAAAGACCTTGTTTTAAAAGTTCTGGTGCTGTGGGTTAAGCGTTGGGTGTTAACTGCAAGGCTGGTGGTTCAAACCCACTCATCCACTTTGAGGGAGAAAGACGAGGCTGTCTGTTCCCGTAAAGATAGACAGTCTCAGAAGCGCTATGCAGAGTTGCTATGAGTTGGAATTGACTGGATCCATGGCAGTGGATTTGGTTTTTTGTGATATTGGGGCATCTGCTCTGAAGTTCCCCACAGGGGGGCACTGGGTCTTGTGACTGTACACCTGACCGCCACCCACGCTTACATGACCCACCTGTCTGGTTTCCCCGAGAAACGTCGCTTTATTTAATCGTGAAAAGCCCTCACTGCCATCGAGTTGATGCTGACGCACAGCGACCCCATAGGACAGGGTAGGGCTGCCCTGTGAGTTTCCAAGACTTCACTGACGGCAGGCGCCGTAGTGCTCGGTTGGTGAGTGCATGGTCAGTAGTTGGAATCTACTGGCGGCTCTTTGGGAGAGAAGACCGGGTGATCTCTTCCCGTCAAGGTGGCTGCCTCAGAAGCGCAGTGAGGCTGTTCTCCGCCTGACAGGGCCGCCGGGAGTCAGTCAGGATTCACCCGCCAACACACAGCAACGCCTAAGCTAACCACCATCACCTGGCCTTTTGAGTCTGCAAGCTCTGCCACTACCGTTGCCGGGACTTGCAGGCCTGCCTGTCTGCCACCCAAGGACAGGAGGCGGCGCAGCTTGTCAAGAGCAGAAGCTGTGATTGTGCGTTGGGTTGGGTAAAGGCGGCTCCTCTCTCTGAAGGTGTTGGATGCAGTGTAGTAAGTGGGAAAGATATATACAGCTTGTTTAAAGTGTGTAAAAGAGCGTCCACCTGGAAGCAACGCAGATCCCCTTGAGAGCAGGGGACTTGGGCGGTGCGGCAATGGGATCCCTGGTTCCTTTTGAACCGAATCCAAATATTAGAAAATGTAAATTCTTTTTTACTTTATAAGTATTTCATTGTAAACAGAAATTTTCTTTTTTGGTCATTTAAATTATGGGCCTATTCCAAGCCTGTGGTTTGCATTGTTTAGTCACCCTAGGAGAGGTCATTTTGTATTTCTTATTAATTATGAGCATTTGCGAGTATTTCCGTGGTCCTTGTTCTCCAAGATGGCAAACCACGCTTGCTCTGTGCTCGCTCTGCCGTTGCTTTTAAGAGGAGCCGTCACTGGGAGCTTGGGAAGGTGAGAACTGATACTGCATTCATCACAAGGAAGCGAGCGGCGCAATGGACAGCCTGGCTTACATATGATTGAAAACGTAAATTCCTTATGGGATGATCATGCTGTTTCCAAAGACCAACCAAGCCTGGACATTTGAGGCCTTTCTCTTTGGGGGTGCACCCCCCCACCCTGCTGATGCTAGTGGGGTGTCTCCTGCTTTCCCAGCAGCACTTGGCTCGCCATGGGGTCCCAGGCCTCAGTGGAGGTGGGGTCGGTGCACGTGGTGATCGTGGGCGGGGGCTTCGGCGGGATGGCGGCCGCCAGCCAGCTCCAGGTGCTGAACGTCCCCTTCACGTTGGTGGACATGAAGGACGCCTTCCACCACAACGTGGCAGCCCTCCGGGCCTCCGTGGAGAGTGGTAATGTTTCCCCTTCCTGGGGCTTGCTTTGTGAGGGTGGGCTTGGCCTGGCCCTGGAGCTGGGACCGCATGGGCTGGGCACAGTTCTTCCCACTCACACTCTACCAATTCCAGAGAGGGTTGAGGGCACTGGTTTCCACAAAGCTCCCAAGAAGAGGTCCCAGGGGTCAGCTTGAGCTTTTCTGAGGGCTCAGGGCCCAGGCTGGCACTTTAGAGGGTGAGGGGTGGGGGTGGGCAGCCAACTGGCCAAGGGCACTCCTGTCCCTGTGCCTCCCAGGAACAGTTCTGGGCTGTTCTAGCGCACGGTGACCTTTCCTGTGTCCATCTCCCAGGCTTTGCCAAAAAGACTTTCATCTCCTACTCGGTGACCTTCAAGGACAACTTCCGGCAGGGCGTGGTGGTCGGGATCGACCTGAAGAATCAGACCGTGCAGCTGCAGGGCGGCGAGGTGAGCGCCGGGGTCCATCCGCTGCCCAGTCCTAGAGGATGCGGCTGGTTGTCCAGGAAACGCAGAGAGATAGAGAGAGAGACCTGTGACCGCTGAGCACGAGCCCAGGGCTGGGCAGATAGCAGATTCTCCTGCAACAAAGGCCTGCCCACAGCAGCCGTAAGAGCGTGGTGGCAGGTGTTTGTTGACCCTTTATTAGGTGCCTGCCACCCACTGTTCTAAAGATTCCCAGACATTTTATTTACTGTCGACTGTGACTGTGAGCTGGGTGAGAGCCTCACTTTACCGAGAGGTGAACCAGCTGGCTGAAGATACCCTGGCTGGGAAGAGACTAAACCAGAACTTGAACCCAGGCCATCTTACCCCAGCACGCAGACTCGAGAAGCCAGTGGCCCTGGGATCCCAGTGCGAAGCCTGGCCAGCCCAGGGGCTGCCTCCCTGCCCCAATCACAGGCTGGACGCCTGGTCAAGCCTGCGTGGCCCCACGCATCCTGGACCGGCAGTCATGGGGCAGAGGTGCTTCTTTACGTGTTTGTTTGCGTCATGCTGGGACGAGGCTCCAAGCCCAAAGGAGACCTGCTGCCAGCCAGCCGCTGCGACCTGAGATGACCCCATGCCTTCAGAGGAGAGCTGTGTTCCTCAGGGGCTCCTTGGCTGTCATCTGCACAGAAACACCGCCAGGCTTTGCTTCCAGAGCACTGCTGGGTGGGTTTGACCCCACCGCCTTTAGTTTAAAAGCCGAGTGCAAACCGTTTGCATCCCTGAGGGGCCGGTGAATGGCACTGAGACCCACGGCATTGAGTCAATCCGAGCTCGGAGCACCCTGTATGGCAGCAGACCTGCTCCCTGGCCTTTCTGGGGCAGAACATCTTTTACAGAAGCGGGCACCTGCATCTTTCTTGCATGGGGAGCCTGGGAGCTCGCAGCCATGTGTAACCTACTGCACTGCTGCATGCAGTGCAGGGCTTGGAATATTCCTCAGGCACAGACTGGACTGCAATAGGGAGCTACTGCTATCCCCCTACCCCCTTAGGCCCCTGCGGGTCACCTCGAGGCCCAGCCCCCGCAGCCTTCAGCGCTCCGGGGGATGGGGAAGAAGGCGACTCCTGCCATGAAGGACGGTGTGAGCTGGTGTGACGCCGTCCTCTTGACTTACGGTCAGGGCCAAAGACTGTCCCGGTTGGAAAGATTCCCAAGATGATCCTAGTCCTGTGGCTCCAGCCCTGCTTCACAGAGCCCTGCAGGGCCCCCAGGGTCTCTCGGGCCCCGTGGGGCAGAACAGGCCCAAGTCATCCAGAATCCTCTACGCACGTCTCTCAGAACAGCTCTGTTTGGCTCACTTGTTTGTGTTTAGCCCTGAACAGGATTTTTGGTTTCTTTTATTTTGGGGAGGCGAGGCGATGGGGAGGAGGGTCTGTTGAGGGAAAAGCTTCTTCAGAAATCCCCTTCCCA